CCATATGATCAGTACAGGTTAGGGTTAGTCAGAGTATTGGGGTAAGTGCGTGTACCGGTATATGGGACGAATGTCACCTGTACAAAGTAATGAAGAACTGACTACGGTTTCTAGCGGACTAACATTGCAGTCACTCCTGTCTACTACCTGTAAAGTATGCATGGGATACCAGATCAGTCCAATATAAGACATAATGTTTAAGTGCATTGGTTGTTAATATATAGGCCAACAGTAATAAAGTCGTTTTCGAGCTGCTTTTAAGGGGATCGCAATTTATTTTCAAAGCGGAGCGGGGAGAAAGTTCTATATACCGTATGTAGAATATTTTGATTATTATTCCATGACTTGAAAAAAAATCGTTTTGGGAACCCTCTTTTAAAATGGTATCTAAAGCATGGTCTTCGCGTGACGCGCCTCTACCAGGTAGTCGAATACACTGACTCCGAAAGCCTACTTGGAGAATTTCGGAAATGCCGTTAGTGACGCTCGCAGTTAGGGAGACAGAGACAAGATCAAAGCCATCGTCGCTGACACCATGAAGCTGATCGATAACTTAGACTACGGGAAAATTGTGACCATCAAAGAAGTGTGCAATATTGTCGTGAAGTAAAAGCCTCCCAAAAAGTTAACATGCCACTGCTGTTTTCGACGTTTAGATCAAATTGCGAAAGCGTGTAATACCTGTAGGTCATACTACAAACTAATAAAAAAATCGACCTTTCTCCCCAGCAAACACGTCATGTTTGGATCACATGGCTAGCCGTGTTTGTGTGATGGTCTATCAGTACGCCAAGCTGCGCATGTTGGAGTTTGACTACGACTTCATGCTAAAATTCGTGGATCCGTCCGATTTCCAATATTGCAAAATGGACACAGATTCCACTTACATCGCCATCTTGGCTGACAGCATAGAAGACGCAATAAACTCAACATGATAGTACAGTAGACCTACGAAGAAGAAAAACATTTGTGGTCCCCGCACACTGACACGCATTTTACAAACGTACGTCCGGATTATTCTAAGTTGAGTGGGTCGGTGACAGTGTCGTCGGTCTCTGCAGTAAGACTTATTTCTGCTTCGAATATGATACAAAAATCCAAGTTTATTTGTATGAGTATTTAAATGTGCTATATTAAACAAAAAGAAGTGGTAGTGGCATCAACAGAGGGATCAGGCTGCTAAATAATACCAAGCACCTTCTGTCCAATAAAGAAACGCCTTAGACCCCATTCCCAAAGGTTTAAGATCGATCTATCCCTGTGGGGAGTCTCACTAGATTACTGTTAGCTTAGCCGGCTTAAGCGTCTGTTCCACCTACTAAAAGCTGTAAGGGGGTAATTAACTATGGTGCCCGCTCGGCTGACTGCAATTTAGCGTGAACCCCCAGGGAGTTAGGTCGATCTAAATCTAAATCTCTGGATCGATCTAAATCTCTGGGAATGCACCCTTAGGCATCTAGTATCTTTAAATAAAATATTCGTAAAAGTTGCTGTGGTGTTGATTTTCCTTTTCAAATAAACAAATATATATTTAAAAGATTTCTAGCGATGAAACGCCACTCATGCAACACTTAATGCATTCTACTGTATTCTCAGATATCCGCTTGACAATTAAGCATTTGACAAAAAGCGTGATTGTGCAGAGCAAAACACAGCGGTACTTGACATAAAATATAAGTGCGTAGTGTTTATACAGTACCGTGCCAGATATCAATTCACTCACTGTATTACTTAATATCACAAAACCGATTCAAACCGGCTATAAAGATACTAGAAACGTTCTTTGTCTGTCTCGCAACTCCTTTTTAGTATTATTGTATGGAATGTTCTAGAAAAAAATATAATAAAACGTGCCTATTGGATTTCTGGTTAAAGAGCTGTTATACAATATTCTAACTATAAAAATGTGATTACAAAGTCAATTAATAACTTCACTGATACAAATATAATATTTCAATCACTGCATTCAAAAGTGTCTCATTATCTATACGCATGACTGAGCATTTTGTTCTCGATCCCAGAGGTTATACAATAACGGTTCTGTAAGCCCTCGCCTCAATTTTTTTTTTTTTTTTGTAAATAATTATAGTTTAAGTGTAGCACTTGAAAAATGTGCCGTTTCGAATGGTTCATGCTAAGCGACCCATCTTTGTTCAACCTTAATGTAATTCACGAGGCTTTCAAACTGATGATACCTGAGACACCCGTGTTTCTTCATAGCGTAACTAAAAATAACTGTGCATCTCTTTTAGATTGTGCATCTAAACAACTGAGGAAGGCCGCGGTATAATAATAAAACTATTCAAGAACTTTTCCCAGATCCCCTTTGAAATGGATAACACTGAAATTACTTTGCGATCCCCCAAAAAGCAGCTTAGAAACGACTCACATGTATAGTACTTCTGCCCACTGTGATAATTGTTCACAAAAGCGAGGATAAAGAACAAATGTCTTCTGAAATTGTTCAAGCGAAATGAAAAATTATTTTAATATCGTATAATACACGAAGGACTATATAAAACCAAATATGCTGTATGAATATATAAAGCAAAGACAAACATATAGACTTAAACAGAGCTGATGGAATTCTTTTCTTACAAACATAACCAAACCAACAAACCAATACTTCAAGTGTGAATATTATTAGAATGGAAATCTTACCCACTGCTCTTCCTTCCTTTTCCACGATAACCCAACCTTCTTCACTTATTTTGAAGAGGGTTTCGATTATATCTTGATGTGTATTCCACATGGCTTCCTCTGTCAGTTTCCAAACCCCAGGGACGTCTTCCATTTTTCCTGGGCGTAGAAGAAGCTCGTGGCTTCCCTCCACCCTCGAAGTGAAGGTGCGCCAAGACACAGGCACGGGACCCACAAATCTGCAGAATGGATGCCGACCTAATAATGTAGGCAAAAGTTCAGCGTACTTAGTTCTACAAAGCCTTCTTCCTAACATGGGAGATAACTTTTCTGTTATCATCGTTGCCAAGTTAATTTTGGATTGCTGTATGGTCTAAAGATGTTAAGAAATGTGTTCCGTCTCGCAGCACGTCATGATAGCGATATGCAACCATGTATGTTAAGGGGCGGGTCAAAGGGTATGAGTGACAGCCAGGCCAAAGTGTGGCCAGGCATGCACATGCAAGATAAAGGAGACCAAGATTAAAGAATTTAGGAAGAAGGCAGAAAACGCACTAGGTGTGTGGAGAAGTCATTTATTTTTACTTATTATTACTCCTTTCTCTCTCTGTGTGTGCGTTTGTTTGGGGGTGGGGTCGGAATGAGTATAGTTTTGTGAGCGTTTAATTAGGTATATATGTGCGACTCAAATAAAAACCTTTTCATTGCGTTAGTATTACCCTTTATGTGTTTATTATTTATCCTTTAAAACTTGTGGATGCTCCCTCTCACTCTCTCTTTCTCTCTCTCTCTCTCTCTCTCCTTTTCTTTTGCCACTTATGTTCCAGATTACAAAAATGCGCCAGTATGAATATACAACCACGTGCACATTCACGGGCACACAAACTGCATACGAGTGCTCATACGCATGGCGCACTGTCCAAAACACCTAAGCTTTACCTCACAATATTTTCCGTGACACATATTTCAGGCACACATTTCACCTTGAACGAATTCCATAACCGTATACTGAAGACTGGTCCAGTGCTCCTAAGTATACAGGAGACTGTTATTAATATGTACATAATGAAAGGCAGACAAAATTGTAAACAGACCAGCGGTCCTTTTTTATATTTGTTGGGGACACGGTCGCTGTCTTGCTAATTCTTTACATCATAGTAGTTCTGTACCATATCATCAAACAGTTCATCACTTTATACATTTATGTCCTTTGGATACATGCTTAGAAAAACGTAGCGGCTTGATAAGGTCCATTAATAAATAACCTATGCATTGAATAAAAGATATCATGTTTATTGTACACGTTTAAACATGTTGTAATATTAAATATTACGTAGATTAACTCGAGGTGTTGCCATACCAGCACAGCGCTGGCAAGCTGAGTGCATTGTGTTGAGCGTTATTGTCAACTATGTTAGAGGAGCTCATTGCGATGCGCCTTGCATTGCAGGCCAGTACGTGTGTGTAAAGTGGCTCAAAATTACCAGCGAAATTGTGCTTGTGCTTGTTTCGATATTTTGGGATTCGTTATTTACAGGGCTTTATACGCCTGAACAAAACATTATTTATTATCAACATACAGCAATGTGATACATGTAGCCACATGCAGCTACATATACTGTAGGTACATGATAGCTACAGTGGGAGTTAATAGGATAATGTATAGCTTATTTCCGAGGGGTAAAATATTATATATTTAGATGAGGCCTTGTTTGCGAAGCCCACACGGAGCATTCCTAGACAGGTGACTTTTTTTTAAACTATGAGCTTGATTTATACTGAGATAAGCCTCACATCTGACTTTATAGCACATTACGAGACCCAACGCAGTTTGCTCCAGTACGCTTTTAGTTTTATCAAGCCTCTAAAAGAAAGGAATCATTAAAAAACGTTCAAATGTGTAAAAACTGGTGCGTTTTCCATTCATGCAATTGCGACGATGCAAATTTTAAGAAAGATGTATTCCGACGAGAAAATGCAATTTTTTTCTGCTAAACTCGGTTTACAGGTGGAATGAGGTGGTACTATACCGGGAAATTTAAAGCTATTGAATCAATTCACGTCCCGTTTCTTTTGCTGATAAGCCTGTCGGAAACTTTCATTGATAGATGATTTCAGATGCTTTTATTTTCATTTTGATTTACACTGAGATAACATTCGACTTCTGACGGATATCCTCTTATAATAAGCAAACCCAACATTTAGAAATAATTTCTGGCAAAAAGACTTATATTTGATATTTTAGAACTCGAACCCTCGTATATGTGTCTCCCTTTCCCCCGAAACTGCAGGATGTATTTTGATATGCCTCTGAAAAGGTGGAAAGTGTTTTTTTTCTCCCCCCCCCCCCCACACACACACACATAAGCACAACCTACTCATATCCTGTTTTTCCATAAAGACAAGGATTGTCCTCTTGAATAGCAATTATTCAGTGCTGTACGATATTCGTTGTCTAATTAAGTTTGTTTTTAAGTATTTTCCACCCCCGTAATATGGACTTTGTGAAATATTGAATATACAAGTCATATGACTTTTGTTTAGCCCTAAAAACATTTATTGTCAATCATTTTTATGCACACATCTGCGATGCTATTATACCTTTATGTATGTCGTTTAATTGAGCATTTCAATATTCCATATTAAATGAATAATATCAATGAGACGCACAATATTGAACCCTCGGTGATACACGTAATACATCATTCAGTCCAGTCATGTTAATTGATTTGAGACTCCGCCAATAATAAAATCAACTGAAAGAACATAAATTGTAAATACACCAAAACTTAAACTTGACACAAACCAAAAAGGGGACAAAATACATATATACATACAAACGCATAATCTTAGCATTTTCCGCATGCGTTCGAAAACAATGAAAATACATTATTCCATTTTGGAGGGGGAGAATAGCATTTCAGGGCAAATTTCTGATAGGTATCGAACAGTTTCACTGTGCTTTCGTTGGCCTTCAGAATCTCTTGACCAGCTTCGTTTGCATATGGCATTAAAATATCGACGTTGGAATCTCGTGGAATGAGGTCCACCAGAGCCTTGAAGAGAACCATGGTTCCAATCGTATTTTCTGCATAGAGGGGTCCAAGGGAGAAACCGTTCATAGCAGGCCTGATTGATCCGTACCCGGCTATCTTTCCCTTCTCCAACAAGACGAGCGTTTCTGCCGTTGTTTGGCCAAGCCATAACTTCAACTTTTCCGGTCTTGGTACCCCGTGGTATGACGCATCATAATCAATCAGATCCGATTGGTCAATTTTTGTCACGTCTAACAAGCGGTAACTGCGTTCTGCATCTGGTGGAAGTGGGGTGTTCTTGAAGACGCCGGAATATTTCCCGACAACTTTTCCCATAGAAAGCGGGACACCGGTGTATCTTTCATATGTATCGAACATTTGCTTAGTGAGGCTAGCATGAACGTTTGCGTCTCCAAATTCCTCTAAAAATGTCATCATCAGTTTTCCTCCTGCAAGAAAATATTGGTTAAAATCACAACAATTACTTAGAACTTATGTTTGGTAAGCAAAGGCGGATCCAAGATATTGTTAAGAGGGGGAGAGGTGCACAAAGTTGAAAAAAAAAATTAACAGTATGATGGGACTAGGACTATCATATTATTAAACAAATACGGGTATGACACGTAGGGAAGTTACCCCAGCAGAAAGAGTGACGTTTTTCCTTTTATTAGAAGTGCCTTTGGGTGTATTCCCAGAGATTTAGATCGATCCAGAGACTAAGATTTAGATCCCTGGTGGTTCACGCTAAATTGCAGTCAGCCGAGCACGAACCATAGTTAATTACCCCCTTACAGCTTTCAGTAGGCGGGACAGACGCTTAAGCCGGCTAAGCTGACAGTAATCTAGTATGGCTCCCCACAGGGATACATCGATCTAAAATCTATGGAAATGGGGTCTATCTTACACAAAGTGCTGTTCGTGCTATTAAAATAACCACTTTTAGAGCGCAAACTCTCTCAAATACTGGTTAGAGATATATTTTTAATTAACATGATTTAATACATGTATATACTTACCCACACCATAACCACGCATCTTTGGAGACATTATAAGATGACCCGCAGTCCTCAGGTCATCATTGAATTTATACGTGAGAAGGCAACCTGAAAAACGTGATTGGTTACACTACACATATGCATTGAACCACCATTTTCTTTCCTTATTCTTTGAATTTTGTCAAACGCACATCTTGTTTTAATAACTCATTTTTTTGTGATTTATTATGCACATCAAAACTATTTCAGAGATTTAAACATTATACATTATTAATTAGAGCTGCCTTAACAACCGAACCCATTATTGAGCGACTTAAAATGTCCAAATAAGACAGATTGCTTAGCAAGTAGAGGACACATTGTGGAGAGTAAGTACATGTACTCTGTCTAACGGATATTTCAACCGAAAGATTTATAATTTGACACCCAAGTACTAGGTCTTTACGTGTTTTGCGCCGGGTTTTTAAGAAGGTCGAACTTGTACACGTCACATTCGCTTCTTTTAAAAAAGCTACCGTTTCTCCGAGCAGTGGGAATGGAAGAGAAAAAGACCTATAACCTTATAAAGAGAAATAATATGAACTTTCAGAGGTCCTTTTAGCTAGTCTGGGAAAATAAATTTCCGTGGATTATTTTTATTGGCAAGGCCATGGCTAGCTGGCCCTTCAGGTCGTCGCACAAAAAACTGTTTTATCAACAAAATACCCAACACATGAAAATGTCTGATTTTGAGTAACTGTTTGACAGATGGCAGTGGTAATGACAGTCACCGTTTAAGAAATTTACGGTTAGATGATATGGATACGTTTGCCCTTATATATACAGTTAAACAAACAGTTCATCATAAAAATATTGTTTCTTTTTTATTTCTTGTATTTATAACTGTTGAAAAAATTAAAATGTAGTATTCCCATAAATATCTTTTAATTAATAATGCACATGTAGTTTTTTATTTATTTACTAGATTTTTCTCGGTCATTAAAACAGGTTATCAGAACTAGATAAATACACTTCAGCTTTCTGGGGTGAAATCCTACCAAAATTCACCATTTTGCTTCAAATTTTCAAAATTTTCTTGGAAAGTTCCCCTAAACACTCATCAGCGGAGGGGGAAGGGAATCTCCTTACACGCCAGCCTTCCTCACGAAAAAATACTATTTCTAGCTGCATGTCAATAAATTAGTTGACAAGTCCACCCAGGCCTTTGTACAGTACCTGATGAAATGTCTCAGGCTGAGACCACAACGTCGGTCAGTTGCTAATGGTCATGCGAGTATAAGAGGTAAACATATATTTCATTCTAATTCTACTGGTTGTGTATTTATTTATAAATATTCACTCAGTGAAAGATGCTCTTTTAAAACGGAGCACCACATCGTCCCTGATCGTCCCAATCAGGTTGCCGATGTATTGTCATTGAAACACAAAGAGAGACGACCGTAATCTGTAATTGGATCCGCAGAGTTGAATAACAGGCCTACCCAAATACCAGACTCGGCACGTTTACGGATCCTGAATTAACCGGTATATCGGACCACACTACCAGTTTTCAAGGTGTGTGTCAGATCGCATTTCGGGGTATCAATCAGACCACCGACGGGATGAGCCCGCAGTCGCCCAACAAAAATTGTTCTGGGGTATATGATACTCCGAAATGCGATCTGACACAGGCCTGAATAAACTATACCCTGTGATGTGGAATTGTCATTAAATTTGATGAAAGCGTGAGGAATGTACTGCGACAAAGGCGGGACCTGCCTTTTAAGGCACAATGCTACACTGCCCAGGATATTGAAGTGTCCGGAGACTTAGAGATCATTCACGCTATGATTATCGGTCTATGTAGATTGATTCAACTCCACGGGAACTCTCAATGAATGCAGTCGGACTAAAACTCTACAGATTAACAAGCCTCCTTTTGTTTCCAATGTTCTCGTACTGTACTTTGTTAGGTTATCAGCCTTCTTTATATAATAGCGAAAAACGAAAATTGCGTCTGACGATAAAACCCCTTTTGGGGCGCATTTTTCAGGGCTGAGTTTGGCTATTTTGGTTGAACATTCTTGGTATATGAATATAGTCCTGATATATGAATTCTACCTTTCCGGAGTTACCCAAAGTAACAAGGAAGGAATTAAATTAATGGTTTTGTTTGTGCATTTAGACAAATCCTAAAAAGGGATTTAATGTATAGGAATATTTTATTTAAATGAAGTAATTACTCAGGTTTTCCAAGAGATCAACAGAGGACTTAAATTGTATGACTTCTTCTCACAAATTAAACAATTGAAGAAAACCGCTTTATTTAGTATAGCTATCTACGGGAAATACTTAACAGCACAATTACCAACTTTTCTGTATTCTACTCAACCTGATTGCATTCAGCGAGAGTCCCCACGGAGTTGGTTCGATTTACGGTTTTCATTGAGAATGAGCCCTTACAAGCTAGACAGAGAAGTATCTTTCTTATAAAATGTAAACAAGACAAATAGAAAAATAAACACATGAAAACCTATCCGTTTATCAATAATAAGAGGATAATATATTCAGGAATATTCCTCACCCACTATATTTCCGTCCTTTTCTGCGATAATCCAGCCATTGTTACTCATTTTGAAATGGGTCTCAACCACGTCTTGGTGCATATTCCATTTGGCTTCCTCTGTCACTTGCCATACCCCAGGGACGTCTTCCATTCTGCCTCGGCGTAAAGTGACCCCTTGGCTCCCCTCCGTGTCAGAAGCAAAGGACCGCTGTTGCACAGGTCGGGGTCCCCCGAACAGCGCAGGCAACAGCTGGTCGTGCACAGCACGAAAAAAGCGTGAAGTTATAGGAGACGACATTTCTGTTTTCGTCGCTAATTTTGGAATGCCGTGTAATGTGCCTTTGTTCAGGGAAGTGTTCAGCTCCGTAGCACGGTATGAAATGTTAAAATAAGACTTATAAGACATAATTATAACAGCTCTTCAACTATTCGTGAGGTTGGAGTGATGTCACAAAGTGGGCGGAGCGTTGTCACGTAGCAGGGGTAAGCTCAATATCAAGAGAGAACTTTACACAAAGAACATAATTATAGGGGCATGCTAACACAGGGAAAGTGATACCGTGGTTGTTGAGATGACGTAACAATGGTGTTTAAAATAGTCATCACCATTAGAGGTGCCTATTATTCGTCAAAACTCGATTTCAGCTTTGTAATTTATCCTTTCTGTGCATTTAGTTTCACGACCAGCTGTCTACGAAAACGGCTAGCGCACACAATTCATTTACTGCGAGCATACCTTTTACTACTATCAGCCCACCTAACCAGATAAAAACCAGTGTGGCCATTACACCATGCGATGTTATCTTAGTCACAGAGTTCTGACAGGGATCGATCATATCTATAGGTTCTCCTAGACAATAACCGACACTGCATAACATTAAGTATAAAACAACACAACACAACACACCTGTATAAAGTGCATACGGACGCATTTAGCGCACTTTTTTTCAACCCACCTTCAATCATTTACAAACAAAACACAATATAAATAAATAAATCATAAACACGAGGAGACCCTCTCCTCACCAAACCTATGTATCATCTCTCCCTTTTATACAAAAAAGAATCACCGGGATATCACATCCCAGATAGCTCTTCGGAGCTCATCTTTCCCTTACATAGGGAATCACCGGGATATCATATGCCAAACAGCTGTTCTGAGCTCATCTTTCCTTACATAGGGATTTAACAGAATATCACAACCCAAACAGCTCTTCCGAGCTCATCTCTCCATAACACAAGGGGAAACCATTTCCCAAACAGCTCTTATTAATCGAAACCATTAATTTAATATATTAATGAACATTAATTGCACCGACACTGCAATTTCTGAAAATTAAACATAAAATATCATCATTCACGCAAGTATTCATACATAAGCACATAATCGTAAACCTTCTCACATAAAACAACACACACGCATATACACTGTAGGCTTACAGTATTTGCTTTGTAACATTAAATAAAAAAAAATTAAAACAAATGAAGTAATAATATAAAAAGAATCATATATAATAAACAAATTGAAACAACATGACCAAAAAAAAAAAACAAAAAAAACAAAACAAAACAAAACAAAACAAAAAAAAAAAAAAAAAAAAACGAAAGACAAATTAAAAATTTACGCGTTAACTGGTCCGCGCTAACTGAGGGAATGAGCAACTGTCGCAACTTACCAACAATTCTTACCAATAGCACAACTAGCACAATGTACACAGTGTCGCCCCCAGAAGAAAATAATTCCATTCTAATTCACTTCTCTCAACCGAATAGAATTATATTTATTTATGTTCGACATCGGTCTGCAGACTACTTTTAACACAAATAGGATAACATTTAGACGACATATTGACAAAATATGAGGAAAGAGGAAACAAATACTTCGTAAAAACACGTACAAATTTTTAGCACAGCCCACATTCACAAGAAAGTAATGCAAATACATTATTCCACTTGGGCGCTGGAATATAACTTTTCCTAGCACATTTGTGAAAAGTGTCGTACAACCCTACGGTGCTTTCGTTGGCCTTCAGAACATGTCGACCTGCTTCATTCTTATGAGGCAGAAAAAAATCCACGTTGGAATCTCGTGGAATGAGGTTTATCAGACCCTTGAAGAGAATTATGATTCCAATCGTATTTTCTGCATACAGAGGTCCAAGGTATAAACCGTTTTTAGCAGGCCTAATTGATCCGTATCCAGCTATCTTTCCCCTTTCCAACAAGACGAGCGATTTTGCCGTATTTTGACCAAGCCAGATCTTCGGCATTTCCGGTCTTGGTATCACGTGATATGACGTATCATATTTAATGAGGTCAGATTGGTCAATTTGCCTCACGTCAGTTAAGTGATATTCTGCATCGGGTGGAAGAGGGACGTTTTTAAAGATGCCCAAATATTTTCCTCCGGTGTCTCCCTTATAGAGCGGACCAACGCTGTATCTTTCATATGTATCTATCATATGAGGAATGGAGCTATAAAAGAATATTTCTGTAGCCATGTTCCTCAATTATTTTCCTCAAAATAATAATGGGCACAAGATTATAATGGGCTAATATTCTTTCTGTTAGCAATTATGCAACATGTATTCTAGCATAGCTTACTGCACTAGCAACTTTATTATACGCTATACTAACTTTTTTATAATAATAATAATAATAATAATAATAATAATAATAATAATAATAATAATAATAATGAGGGATTTAGAACATCTAGACGATTAGACGGTTTGTATGAAAGCTGCTTACATTATGATCTAAAATTGTCAATAATTTGGAAATGCCGGCAGGAGGAATAAACTACAGTAGGTTAACGCTTAAAGTTAAAGGAATACAGTGTTGAAAATATGGGTTAAAGCTGTCATTTTTTATTCCCAAAAGTGGTGTTTGATCAATTTAAAGAAGGTGATTACATTTGATTAATTTTACACAGATTTTATACTAGTTTTTCTACGCCCGTGTGGTGGCGCTGCGAGGAAGTAGGCCATAGAGTAACCTAAGAAGCCGTGTGAAGCAAGTTGATTCTAGGGTGATTTTGCAATATTACCCCTGCCCTATTACGTTCACTTTTTTCACACTAATTTTTACATTTTCTTGTTCTTCTATGCCATGTTTTTGTAATTACTTATGGTCTTTTTTTCTTTTTTAATCCAGTTTAATTCAACTCAGTAAAATATATAATTAGTACAAAAATGCAATCACATTTAATAAATTGCCGCGCTTTCATTGGCTAATATTGTGGTCATATGACTTATCATGTGACTTTAAAATACTTTTTACATTATAGAAGTCATGTTACCGCAGCACAAACCAATGAAAACTATGCAAGATATTAACTGCGGATGCCTGGTTGAATCTTAAATGAGATTTTAATGGATTGGATTAAACGTGACATTTCTATTATCGTCTTTGACCCCATTCCCACAGATTTTAGATCGATCTATCCCTGTGGGGAGCCTGACTAACTTACTGTCAGCTTAGCCGGCTTTAATGTCTGCCCCGCCTACTAAAAGCTGTAAGGGGGTAATTAACTACCGTGCGCGCTCGGCTGACAGCAATTTAGCGTGAACCAGCAGGGAGTTAGGTCGATCTAGATGGATCGATCTAAATCTATGGTCTTTGACTGCATTCCCATAGATTTTAGATCGATCTATCCCCCTGGGGAGTCTCACTAGATTGGTGTCAGCTTAACAGGCTTAAATGTCTGCCCCGCCTACTAAAAGCTGAAAGGGGGTAAATAAGTATAGTGCGCGCTCTAGTCGACTGACATCAATTTAGCGTGAACCCCCAGGGAGTTAGGTCGATCCAGATGGATCGATCTAAATCTCTAGAAATGCAGTCTTTGACTCGCTGTATAAAATACCGTCCCTTATTAATGGAAATAGTCAGCATAAAAGTACGTTTTGAGAACGACATTCCAGAAATCTCAACTTCTTACAGTTTTTTAATCGTATATACATCCAAAATATTTGATTGTTCTGATACCACATGTACTGATACCTCTTTGTGATCTAGAGGGCATTGGGAGGTTGTAGACATGCTTTTATATATATCGTGTGGTAAGAATTCAACGGAACACTTCTCTTGGCTTGGATGTCCTTCCTACTAATCTCTTTCCCGCCTATTTAATAATGGGTAATACAACCATTTCAAATCACTTCTCAAATCTCAAGGCGGCAGGTTAACACTTCGTGGTACGGGTCTCCGTTAATCTGATTATGTGTATCGGTAAAGGTCAGTGCTTGACCGCAGTTTATGTAAATCTTTACGACTGGTCAGACTTAAAAATAAGATTTATTGCATAAGTTCCAAATTACCCGCCGAGTGAAGAAATATTAAGTCACGGGAACATTGATCGAGTTCTCATCAAGATATGGCCTAAAGTTGATTGCAAGAACGCTATAGAATGTGGACGCCATGCCAGCTTCTTTCTGTAGGAGTTCGTCCAACTAGTACACCATCAGCTCTGCGGCGCACATTTAGAACAGGTAAAGTTTTTAAAAACATATATGCAGATTGAAAATACATTCAAATTCTTATCATTTTAGATGTTGTGAAATCCAAGTGTTACTGTCTCTCTTTTCTGGTACATAATTTATGAATGTGTAGATGGATCAGATTAATCCTGAGACGCCCTGTAATTATAGTACGGTACAAATCAACGGAACACTTCTCCTTAATTATTGCCTTGGTTGTTCTTGGTTGTACCTACGCCACACTTTCCGGGCTGCTGAATACCGGATCACCCAACCATTTCAAACCAAACCCCACGTCACCTCTATGCCTGTGCTCTCCTTAGACCGGTGTTTGAAGGTAGGAAATATAAGTCTAAGAGCGCAAAACATTGTTTAAGCCTTACTCAACATTATACACCGTATTTAAAATAATTGGTGGCGCGCCGGTATATACATGTATAAGAGGTTACATAAGTTTTGCACAAAATTACATGTACTTTTAAGTTATGTATATAGCGAATGTATAGATACCCAGTAACAGATAAACATCACTTCTACTAGTTTCTTTTAGGTCTAACATAAAGTTGACATGCCAAATAATAAACCAAATATGTCCCTCGTCCTGAACATAAATAAATAAATAAACAAATGAATAAATAAATTAATTAATGCAAATAAAATGAAAATAAAACTGCACCTGCTTCAAACTTTTGGTTGTAAATTGACCGGCTTATATTGCATAACCATCACTGTTACTCCCATGTATGGATGTATAACTGGGCGTGCAATTGCATACTTATTTAGATGATACCATTTTTCGGGAAATGTGAAACGATGCCCTTTGGTAACATTTGGTCGGCTTCTGTGGCAAAAATTAATACATCTTTTAGACAGCTGAATTTGTTTTTCTTTTAATCATTTTGAATTATAATGAAATATGGTCGTGTCACAAAATTAATTTTATTACTGCTATACAGACCATTTTTTTTTTTTTTTTTTTTTTTTGTTATGCCAATGTCATGATTTTGTAAGACAGCCACATTACCGCAAACTGGCCTATATTTACATCCTTCATAAACTCATGAAGGCGCAGTTATCTTCAGAGTCTGTTTGTCAGTATTCTAATGAACCTTTGAATTGGTGTGTGTCTCCAGTAAAGGGGCAATTTATTGCCACTTTATGTCCTATTTCATCTCACAAGTCGCCAACCAATGATTGGCTACAGCCTGTTCATGTTTTGTTGGTGACGCCACTGGTGGACTACCCTATGTGGTGCGGCATCCTGGGAAATAAACGAATGAATCTTGCTCCTAAGATATTCTCTATTTACGACCCACACCTTCGCACACTTGACGGCAAGAGGGGGAAAAAGGAGCCTGTTGTCTCCGGTGCTTGTCTTTCTCGGACAGCCACTTTGGAAAAACATTGACTATTTCCAGTGTCCTCCCTCCATCAGCATATTTAACATACAGTGTGACAACACATATGATATCTAACACTGCTTAGGACATTAATGCGGATATATCATTTTATGACGGTAAAGATATAGAATGACAGTATCGTAGGGGTTATAGCGCGACACTAATAACTTCAGAAAAACAAAACTCTTGTTTTTGACCTGTGCGCTTCATCATGATAGCAACTTGGCAGCTTTTATTCTACGCATGTCTGATTACAGAATTAATAATAATTGTATATGGAATTAACCTAATAACTATATACGCTTTACAAATCCTACAAAACATTTTACCACACAACTCCATATTACTAAGAGCCTATTCATATAAAAGGTGCAATGTTTTGCCCCCCCCCCCTCCCCCGTATCTCTGACACAAGGGAACTTTACTGTCATTGAAATATAACTGTCAATATATAAACAGCTGCTAGTAAATAAAACTACTGAGGTAAATAATGCCCTCAACGATATCGTTATCGTCATGCAAGGGTTTTACTCCCTGTTATATGCTTAAAAATGATGTTTGTATTTTGGTAAACAGTGCAATTAAAGACCGGTTAGTGGGGGAGCACTCTCCACCAGGTCGCCACAAACAAGCTTCTCCAAGGTTGGACATTACCAGTCAAATATTATCTATGAAATCCATATTTATTTATTACCAATCCAAAGCTTTATATTAACATCAAAATCAAGTAGTGTTATGTAAGTTCAATGATATCTTGGCCTATATACATGAAACTCAAAGCTGAGCTCGATGTCACTTTAAACACTGGTCGTTTCTCATGAAGGATTTCATTAGGAGTCAATTGATAAATGCTACATGTCATTCAATATGAGTCTCGCTGATGGCATATGACGGCCGAATGAGGTTTTGGTCCTGCAATTTCTCCAAAACTAACATTGACTGTAAAAACAAAAAATGCAGTGAATATACGGAATTACTGTTGGGTCAGAAAGAGCCCTCAGTGTTACATGATTAATAAATCATACAGACCATTCATGTTTTAACATCAATTAAAATTGATTTGAGACCCCTTTATTGCAAAAAATCAACTGAAATAATGTCAATTGCATACAAACCAAAAGAGATAATAAGATAAACCATGGCAAAAACAAACTGACATAAAGGAGACAGAATGTATATATAAACTTAGCACAATCCACATTCGTTGGAGAGTAATGCAAATACATTATTCCATTTTGGTACTGGAATATAACTTTTCCTAGCACATCTGTGAAAAGTGGCGTACAAGCCTACGGTGTTTTCGTTGGCCTTCAGAATCAGTTGACCCGCTTCGTTCGCATGGGGAAGAAAAAAATCCACGTTGGAATCTCTTGGAATGAGGTTTATCAGACCCCTGAAGAGAACCATGGTTCCTATTGTATTTTCTGCATAGAGGGGTCCAAGATAGAAACCGTTCATAGCAGGCCTGATTGATCCGTACCCGGCTATCTTTCCCTTTTCCAACAAGACGAGCGATTCTGCCGTTGTTTGGTCAAGCCATAATTTTAGCATTTCCGGTCTTGCTACCACGTGGTAAGAAGTATCATAATCAATAAGAGCCGACAGTTCAACTTGCTGCAGGTCAGATAAATGGTATGTGCGTGAGGCATCTGGTGGAAGGGGGATGTCCCTAAAGACGCCGAAATATTTTCCTCCCGTGTCTCCCCGAGAGAGCGGAGCACCGTTGTATCTTTCATATGTATCTATCATGTACGAAATGGAACTAAAATGAATATTTCTTTCGCCATATTCCTCTGCAATGTTTCTCAGTAATTGTCCCCCTACAATGAAATAAAACCACAGGAGAAAATCGTAATATTCTTGCTGTTAGCAGTATGTATACTATAACAACTAACTATAACAGCGCATGCAGAACTACGGGCCAACACATATAGTAGACCCACTTGAAAGTAAGGCCTCCTAATCCTCTTATGGTCTCATCGGAGCCACACTCCACAATTTAACAGATTAAACTCTAAACAATTGAACTCTTGGTCTTGATTTCAAAATTCGCAATCATATCAAAACAGTTGTAGACTTTGTGTTTCGGTCATCATGCGGTTTATTGACTCAAAGCTGAGATAACCAAGGATTAATTGTAATTACAGCCAATACCATTTTAAAAGTTATTCTTTGTCTAACAAATTTCAAATGTAGCTGTTAAAGGGTTGGCAAAACCATCACATGTCATATTCATTTTGATAGTAGATAAATAACGATCCACCGTTAAAATGTATAAACGTATATAACTTAGGAAGTTGAATACTGGTTGGAAATGTTCTTTCAATGGAACTCGATTAAACGTACTTACCTACACCAAAACCGCGCATCTTTGACGACACTACAAAGTGACCCCCTGTGGTCAAGTCATCATTAAATTCGTGTGTCAAATAGCAACCTACAATGAATCGTCATCGTTAATACAGTGTGTGTAAACTGTACCTAAATTAGAGATTGATTGTGTATTCTATCCTTGTCTCAGTTTTCGGCCTTACAAGCTCACGGTACCCTTACCGCTGGTAAGGCCTCATAGCAGTATGTACAAAAACCTTGAGACACGTAAGTTCCTCGAAATATCCACGTTCTGACAATCTCTGTGGGTCCTCCGTTGTACCTTGTAGTATGTATATCCAATTAAAAGTGTTTTCGTGTACCTTCAGGCACGAGGTTCATAAAGTTTTGGTCTTTTTATTTCAGCTTACTACTGCACTTACACAACAGCCCGCCATATTGTCGAACACTCGCGGAAAGGGCGACCAGTTTTTCAAGGTCGACCTCGAAATGGAGACCTGTTTCCAATGTAAACTTTTGCGACTTCTGGAGACAGGTGGTGAAGAATGGTGTTTGATCCATGTAGGCCACCTCCAATTTATAGATGTTTTACGTGCATTTGGCCATCCATTTGCGCTTCTGTCGAATTTGGTCAATTTTTGCGTTAAAACCTTCATGAATAAATATTTTAGAAATTTTATAATAATTGTATTTAATAGCAATAAAATTTATTTTAAAAAATCACGTATTGTATTATTTTGTTTTATTAGTGGTATTATTTTCACCCTTCATTAAAATACATGAATGGAAAATTAAAAGGAATGATAAAAAATTAAAAGGAAAGATAAAAATTTAAAAAAAAACGTTTACTTAATTTTTAATGTATTATTTATTTATTTATTATAATTTTATTAAATTAATAAATATTTATTATTTATTTATTTTGGAAATGAAAAATGAACCACAGAACAAAACATCGTCATTCACTCTGAGAACACATCTTTGCATCACAGAAAAGACTTCAAGTTCACCGTACACCTTCACCTCTTCCTGCGTTTCTCTTGTCGTTGAAAAAAATAAAAATAAAAATAAAATAAAAAAATAAAACAATTTATAATAATAATAAATAAATAAATTAATTAATTAATTAATTAATTAATTAATTAATTAATAAAATAAGTAAATAATTATAATAAAATAAGTAAAAAGAAGTCGCAAAAGTTTACATTGGAAACAGGTCTCCATTTCGAGGTCGACCTTGAAAAACTGGTCGCCCTTTTCGCGAATGTTCGACAATATGGCGTGCTGTTGTGTCAGTGCAGTAGGAAGCTGAAATAAAAAGACCAAAACTTTATGAACCTCGTGCCTGAAAGTACACGAAAACACTTTTAATTGGATTTACATACTACAAGGTACAACGGAGGACCCACAGAGATTGTCAGAACGTGGATATTTCGAGGTACTTCCCAGCGGGCAAATTATGTTGTTTTAACGTTGAAACAACGTTGAACCGTAACTTTGAGTAGACATTGAATAAACGTTGGATTTGAAAGTTGTGTCAACCTCAGATAACAACGTTGTATCAACGTCAGAAAACAATGTTATATCAACCCCACCCAGCGGGACATTAGCCTGGATGTGTTTAGCAGTAGGACATGTTTGATGGCTAAATATATGTAGGGTATAAATGTACGGCCTTTAAGTTAGAATTTCCAAGATTTGGATTAATATATATAGTTCTTTTCTTAAAAATATATAAATGTATATATATAAGAAGATAACTACAACTATATATATAAATATATATAACAAAGTCACAGTCACCTCAACCTGTCTATCTACAACAGGTTACCAAGAACTGTTAACTCCATCACATTTACAGCAACTTATTTATCCTAGTGTTAGCTGACCTTGCAAGTAATTCAGTTTATTGGAATGTATTTCTGAATAACAAGTTAAGAAAATTCACTAGTTAACTAAAGACACAATTTTGTTATTATTTTGATAAATTTAGTTACAGTACTGATAAACAAAGTATCACGTTTTCAATAATTAATATTTTAAATTACAATCTATAACTGCAAGGTTGTGCCATTGACCAAAATACAACGTTGAGTCAACGTCACATTATGACGGTGTTTCGACGTGGCTGGATCAACGTTGATTTGACGTTGAATTTAGGTAGATCAACGGCAATTCCACGTATCAACCTGTTCTCAACGTTGATCCAACGCAACTATGCCTGCTGGGTTAAGTGTCTCAAGGTTTTTGTACATAATGCTATGAGGCCTTACAAGCGGTAAGGGTACCGTGCGCTTGTAAGGCCTAAAACTGAGACAAATTCTATCCATGAGACATGATGTTTCAACCATTCAACATGTCAATTTTTATAATAATTACACAAAGAAAATGACACTTCCTTCCCCCCCCCCCCAAAAAAAAATAAATAAATAAATAAATAAATAAATAAACAAAAAGAAAAAAAAACATTACAAATGTAGACCATCAATAAATTATTTGGAGATTACGTTTTTAGAAAGAATACTGACCCACAACATTTCCGTCCTTTTCCGCGATAGTCCAACCATTTTCACACATTTTGAAATGGGTTTCAATCATGTCTTGATGTGTATTCCACATGGCTTCCTCTGCCAGTTGCCACACCCCAGGAACATCTTCCATTCTTCCACGGCGTATAGTGACCCCTTGGCTCCCCTCCATGGTCGAAGTAAAATAACGCTGAAACACAGGTCTCTGTGTCCGGAGTCTGCGAAATGGACCTCCAACTAAGACTGAAGGCAGACGTTCATCGCGCACAGCATTGAAAAAGCGTGAAATCGTCACATGTCTTCGTACTGTATTAGCAAACATTTCTGTTATCCTAATTGACTAATTCTTGATTGCTGTATAGTCTAAAGTTCTTTATAAATAAGAATATGGTCCACTTTTTTATCAATTGATCGAAACATGTTAGTGTTAGTGACCCGTAAACAGGTTAGTGACCCGTACACGCCATTTTGCTTGTCATGCGGTCTGTCCAACCAGGGTCTTTCTATACATCCAAAGACTTTTCCGAGCGTTGGGAATCCTGCCTACTCCCCCGCCTGTTGAATAACGCGTCACCCAACCATTTGAAACCACAGCTCTCCTTAAGTCCGGTGCACACTGAACGTTACGTCCTAAGCTTCCTGCCTTAACTTATCTGAGTTATGTGTATCTGCAGGTTTTCTGGGGCTCATCTTTAGCCTAACTTCCAGTTAAGCTAGACAGATGCTCAAGTAACAGTAATCCTGATATCAACACTGTGGGTCCTTCCTCGGCTATAAGTATTTAAGACGCATGGGACCATGAACCGGGTGGGTGGAAAAACAAGGTATATAATCATTCTCTCTTCTCGTGACATGCTTTATTTATACCATGGCTGAGCCAGCAGATAATGGGATAATTGCGGCAGTATTTCGCTCACAAGAGACCGTGTGCTTGGATGTATGTCGATGAGCGTCAGCATATTCAGTCAATGCCTTTTAATTAAAATTGTTCACGGAAGATTAAGGTCACGTTACCGATTTTTAACCCCAAACGTACCTAAAGCTAGGGGCCATAAATCATATATTACTTACAATAGAATTGTATATTACTTGCAATAGAACTTTATAAACATCCACGGTTTTATTAATAATATTTTATTTATTAATATTTATATACGTGTATAACCATTTATTCAAGTAATATAAGAAATTATCCATTATATATTTTTGCGGTAAGTGCTTTGAAAGTAAATTATACAATTGTTTTAAAATACTTTATTTGAAATGTCACCTGGGGGGTAGAAGGAACGATCCTGCCTCTTTTTATTTCACTGATGAATCTGGCAAGCCAATAATCTAGCTATGCTGTTTCTCCGTCGGCAAGGGTGGGAATGGACCACATTTTATCTTCTACAGTTAAAGGTTTAAAATTTCTCCAGGTACGCCACTCTTTGAAAATATTTAAGGCCCATCTCTTACTTTGCTGAGTGCTTTTAGGAATACTGCTGGATATATTTTCTTAAACATGTGATATTATCAACGGGTTTTTCGAAACGAATAGACGGCTTCTCCTTAATGACTGAATTAAATAAATTTTGAGTTGGAATATTAAAGAGTTGCGATACGGATACATCTTCTGAGTCCATATTATGGCTCTCTCAGCGCATCAGTGCAGGGAGAATGAATATTCGAGGCATCTCCAACAACGTAATACTTAATAATATTTTCTGGGTATATGGGCCAACTTGAGCAGCACCAAGGACAGCGTGTTGCGTAATATGGGTATTAAGGCCAACCTGAGTAGCATTAATCACGTAAGACTAAATATGTCAAGGATTGCGGAGTAGCCAATGGACAGCCGTGGTTTAAGTCAGTTACAACTACTCGTCGGTCACTGCATGCGATATACAAGGGTGTAATCATCTCGGCTGCGCCTCGATGGTCACACTCTTGTACTAGTATATCTCATACAGTGACCGACGAGCAGTTGTAACTATTACATAATACCCTCAACTATATCGTCAAGCAAGGGCAATAATCCCAAAACATTGCCCTTGTTTACTCCCTGTTATATTTTTGCTTAAAGGGATAATAACTCTTCGTTTCGGCCAAAAAATGAATTTTCCTGGAGTAAACAACAATTTTCCCATACTAACCAATGGTTAATGAATCCATTTTTACATTCAAAGTTAGTCCTTGGTTTTTTTTCTAAAAAGTTTGGTTTTTTGTTAAAATCTCTTAAGAGATTTTAACAGAGTACAGCCATCAATGGAGGTCACATTGTCTAAAGACAAGCTCAGATATCAGAAAAATAGCTATAACTACCGTTTTTGTGGTAAAACAGAATATATTTTATTTCTATGAGTTATTCACAATGTTTTTATTGTGAAATATAGATCTCATACGAAGAGTTATTATCCCTTTAAAAATTATGTTTGTATTTTGGTAAAGAGTGCTATTAAAGACCGGTTAGTGGGGGAGCACTCTTCACCAGGTCGCCACAAACAAGCTTCTCCAAGGTTGGACTTAACCAGTCAAATATTATCTATGAAATCCATATTTATTTATTACCAATCCAAAGCTTTATATTAACATCAAAATCAAGTAGTGTTATGTAAGTTCAATGATGTCTTGGCCTATATACATGAAACTCAAAGCTGAGCTCGATGACTCTTTAAACATTGATCATTTCTCATGAAGGATTTCATAAGGTGCCAATTTCTAAATGCAAAGTGTCATTATCAGTCTAGTTAATGAAATATGACGACCAGTTGAGGTTTTGGTCGTGCAATTACTCCAAAACTAACATTAACTTTAGAAAAATGCAATGAATAAATGGGATTACTGTGACATTATACACTTCATTAATTTGGGCAAAAAAAAGGCCTCAGNTGAAAGTCAAACTAAATGACACACAACCAAGCTCCAGCATCCACTGTAAAACGTGCTGTGGTGTTTCTCTAAAAAACTCTTTGATTAATTCATGCACTTGTATCCTTTTGGTTAAAGTACTGCTGTTATATCTATGGTTTGATATTTTTTTAGAATTTTGGCAAAAATAACTGGTAAACAATATGATATTTCAGTTACAAAAGCATCAGTTACTTGAATGTGTAGTGCCCGTACCCCCAGACCATAGTCTAAGTGGCTTTCTGTTAATTTGAGCGTAGCACAAAAAGTAATTAATATTGCGTTCTAAAATTGTGGATATCATAGTTAAGAAGTTATTCTTTTTATCTGTTACAAAATTAAACAAATGCATCAGAGTTAATTTGTCTCTCAATGTGACCCCTATTTTGTACCCCTGATCGTGAAACAGCCGATTAGCACACGCTCCCAATTTGCGAGGCTTTCGAAGTATGGGATAGCGAGGAATCGACATGTTTGCGCCCGCTCGCCATAAGCTATGCTTTCGAGATACGAGGCCCTGAGTAGCATTAATCACGTACGACTAAATATGATAGCGGAGTAGCCAATGGACAGCCGTGGTTTAAGTCAGTTACAACTACTCGCCGGTCACTGCATGTGATATACAAGAGTTTAAACCACGGCTAGCGCGTAGAACAAAAGACTCGGCCGTGCTGTATGCGACATACAAGCACGTCATGTACGAGTGCGTTCCACGGTCTGTTGCACTACTAGTGTAGTAGCCAATCAGAGGCCGTGGTTTAAGCCAGATACAACACTCGTCGCCGAGCTGTACGTGAAAATTACTCGTGTATTGTCTCGCCTGCGGCTCGCCAATACACTCGTAATATTTCACGTACAGCTCGGCGACTCGTATTGTATCTATCACGTGATCATCGATGCGCCTCGATGATCACACTCTTGTATATCACATGCAGTGACCGACGAGTTGTTGTAACTATTACATAATACCCTCGACTATATCGTCACGCAAGTGCAATCATCCAGAAACATTCCCAGCAGACAAACGACATTGATTCACCGTTGAATCAACGTTAATTTAGGTGGATCAACGTTGAATCAACGTAGAATCAATGTCGTTTGCCTGCTGAGATTGCCCTTGTTTACTCCCTGTTATATGCTTAAAAATGATGTTTGTATTTTGATAATTAAATGCCAGTAAGTGGGGGAGCACTCTCCACCAGGTCGCCACAAACAAGCTTCTCCAAGGTTGGACTTAACCAGTCAAATATTATCTATGAAATCCATATTTATTTATTACCAATCCAAAGCTTTATATTAACATCAAAATCAAGTAGTGTTATGTAAGTTCAATGATGTCTTGGCCTATATACATGAAACTCAAAGCTGAGCTCGATGACTCTTTAAACATTGGTCGTTTCTCATGAAGGATTTCATAAGGTGCCAATCTATAAATGCTAAATGTCATTTTTAGTCTAGTTAATGAAATATGACAGTCAATCGAGGTTTTGGTCGTGAAATTACTCCAAAACTGACATTAACTTTAGAATAATGCAATGAACAAATGGGATTACTGTGACATTATACACTTCAATAATTTGGGCAACAAAGAGGCCTCAATGATACATGATTATTAAATCAATCAGTCCATTCATGTTGATTGATTTGAGACCCCTTCAATGACAAGATCAATTGAAATAATGTCAATTGCATACAAACCAAAAGAGATAATAAGATAAACCAATTCCAAAAACAAACTAAAAAAGGAGACAGAATGAATTTATAAACTTAGCACAGTCCGCACTCGTTAAAGAGTAATGCAAATACATTATTCCATTTTAGTACTGGAATATAACTTTTCCTAGCACATTTGTGAAAAGTGTCGTACAAACCTACGGTGTTTTCGTTGGCCTTCAGAATCAGTTGACCCGCTTCGTTCGCATGTGGCAGAAAAAAATCGACGTTGGAATCTCGTGGAATGAGGTCCACCAAAGCCTTGAAGAGAACCAGGGTTCCGATCGTATTTTCTGCATAGAGGGGTCCAAGGTAGAAACCGTTCATAGCAGGCCTGATTGATCCGTAACCGGCTATCTTTCCCTTCTCCAACAAGACGAGCGTTTCTGCCGTTGTTTGGCCAAGCCAAATCTTCAGCATTTCCGGTCTTGGTACCACGTGGAATGACGTATCATATTCAATGAGGTCCGACAGTTCAACTTGGCGCAGGTCAGATAGATGGTATTTGCGTAAGGCATCCGGTGGAAGAGGGATGTCCTTGAAGACGCCGAAATATTTTCCTCCCGTGTCTCCCCGAGAGAGCGGAGCACCGTTGTATCTTTCATATGTATCTATCATATACGAAATGGAACTAAAATGAATATTTCTTTCGCCATATTCCTCTACAATGTTTCTCAGTATTTGTCCCCCTACAATGAAATAAAACCACAGGAGAAATTCATAATATTCTGTCTGTTAGCAGCACGTATACTCTAATAACTATAAGAAGCAAATATAGTAGACCCACTTGAAAGTAAAGCCTACTAATCCTCTTATGGTCTCATCGGCTCCCCACGTGCCACAATTTAACAGGTTAAACTCTAAACAATTGAACTCTTGGTCTTGATTTCAAAATTCGCAGTCATAACAAATTAGTTCTGGACTTTGTGTTTCGGTCATCATGCGGTTTATTGACACAAAGCTGAGATAATTGACCGAAGCTTAATTGTAATTGTAGCCATGACTATTTAAGAAGTTATTCTTTGTCTAACCAAGGAGTGTTATAACTCCTTGGTCTAACAAAATTCAAATGCAGCTGTTAAAGGGTTGGCAATACCACCATATGTCATGTACAATTTGAAAGTGGAAAAATAGCGATCCACCGTTGAAATGTATCAAGGTATATTACTTATATAGTTGACTACTGGTTGGAAATACGTTTTTAATGGAATTCGATTTAACGCACTTACCTACACCATAACCGCGCATCTTTGACGACACTAGAAAGTGCCCCACTGTAGTCAGATCATCATTAAAGTCGTGTGTCAAACAACAACCTACAAATGAATTATCATCATTAATACGGTATAAACTGTACCTAAATTAGAAATTGATCGTGTATTCTATCCATGAGACATGATGTTTCAACCATTCAACATGTCAATTTTATCATAATTAAACATAATTAAAATGACCCCCCCCCCCCTAAAAAAAAGTAATAAAATTAAAAAAAAAAAACATTATATAATATACACATGTAGAATTATTTGGAGATTACATTTTTAGAAAGAATTAATACTGACCCACAACACTTCCGTCCTTTTCCGCGATAGTCCAGCCATTTTCACATATTTTGAAGAGTGTTTCAATCATGTCTTGATGTTTATTCCACTTGAATTCCTCTGTCAGTTTCCAGACTCCCGGGACGTCTTCCATTCTTCCACGGCGTATAGTAACCCCTTGGCTGCCCTCCGAGGTCGAAGTAAAAGAACGCTGAAACACAGGTCTCTGTGTCCGGTGTCTGCGAAATGGATCTCCAACTAAGACCGAAGGAAGACGTTCATTGCGCACAGCATTGAAAAAGCGTGAAATCGTCACATGTCTTCGTACTGTATAAGCAAACATTTCTGTTATCCTCGTTGACTAATTCTTGATTGCTGTATAGTCTTAAGTTCTTTATAAATAAGAATATGGTCCACTTTTTTATCAATTGATCGAAATATGTTAGTGTTAGTGACCCGTACACGCCATTTTGCTTGTCATGCGGTCTGTCCAACCAGGGTCTTTCTATACATCTAAAGACTTTTCCGAGCCTTGGGAATCCTGCCTACTCCCCCGCCTGCTGAATAACGCGTCACCCAACCATTTGAAACCACAGCTCTCCTTAAGTCCGGTGCACACTGAACGTTAGGTCCTAAGCTTCCTGCCTTAACTAATATGAGTTATGTGTATCTGTAGGTTTTCCGGGACTCATCGTTAGCCCAACCTCCAGTTACGCAAGACAGATGCTCAAGTAACAGTAATCCTGATATCAACACTGTAGGCCTTTCCTCGGCTATTAGTATTTGCTTCGCATGGGACCATGAACCGCGTTGGGTGGAAAAACAAGGTATATAGTCATTCTCGTGACATGCTTTATTTATACCACGGCTGAGCCAGCAGATAATGGGATATTTGCGGCAATATTTTGCTTACAAGAGACCGTGTGCTTGGCTGTATGTCGATGAGCATCAGCGCATTCAGTGAATGCCTTAATTGTTCACGGAAGGTCAAGGTCACGTTACCTATTTTTAACCCCAAAACATACCTAAAGCTAGGGTCCAAAATAAATTATTTTGGATCTTAGCCTAAAACAAAAGCTAAAAATGAAAGAAAATGTGTACAACGTATAAATACTAGAAATAACACAACAAGATATTATTGCAAATTTCGCCTGAAAATAAGACGATGTTATATTACATGAATATATATATTAAATTTCCAGCGATTTCTTTTACCGTCTTTTAACATAGTAATTTTTTTAACGATTGAAGGCACAGTAATAATTACCGAATCTGGAGTGCCTATAATTAGATCATGCTTTCATATATTACTTACAATAGAACTTTATAAACATCTACGGTTTTATTAATAATATTTTATCTATTAATATTTATATAGGTATATAACCATTTATTCAAGTAATATATAAATTATCCATGTTTAATTTTGAAATTTTTATACATAATAAAACATGACTTTAGCATTCTTCACGTGAATATTTACCGCAAGTTTTTCTATCAGAGGTACCGAGTGATTCAATCTATTATAAGCTTTCGTGTTTTTGTTACATGTTTTGTTATATGCTATTATGACTAGCAATCCAAACTTGCCGCCATGTTTAATTACATGAAAGACACATCAAAATGACGAATTATGCATTCGCAGAGGTCATTGCAACGGGATTTACGTGTCGCAAATAATAGCCTCGAAACTAATGGTGATTTCGCTATTACGGCTGTTTCACAATCAGGGTGAACAATTAAATGAGGTTAATGTTACAAGTATCTGATAAATTAACAATTTATGATTGGAGATTGCTGATAGACTAATATCAAAGACACTGTTCATAGGAGCAAAATAATAAAAAAAAAGAATTATAATAATCGGATTACAATATAGAAAAATATAGCCAATTATGTGTTCAAAAAGTACCTATTTTTAGCTGTTACGGTGGGTCATTTGCCATGAAGGTCATAAACATGATGCACTAGCTCTTTATGTCAATGATTTATGGTGAATATGATATTGGTGTATAATTCCCACAACATGTGTCTTCTCTTCTAGCAGGTTCTTCCAAAGATATGTTCTGAGAAAAAAAAATATTTTAACCATTTTGCAGAAACGGGTTTTGATACACATTTTACTTATTTTTGTTAATGCAATGAAAAACATATTTGATAAGGCCAAATATTATTTTGAAATCACCTACGTGATAATAAGATGAATTTACCATGTTACCTGTATGACTTAAACATAATAAAGGAGTTGTGCATATGTAACCATTATTATTAATGCTATGATATTTATAATCATGAGCCCCTTGGTGTCTCCTACTTTTTGTATATTCTGTCTGATTTTATTATTCTATAATGTCTACACTGACATTTATTTTGCAGGAAGAAAATAGCACATAACCCCTTATTATGAAAAGATATGCAAGAATTTGGTGCCAATTGCAGTGTCCGTACCCCCAAGTTATACATTAACCATTGGATAACTGGCTACATATCAATGATGATAAAACTTCAAAATATGGTGCAAAATATTGTTTTAGACTATATAAAATGCATTCATGTCTTATGATGTTTAGAAAAAACATTGTATATAAATATATATTCAATAAAGTGATACTGATTAGAGTCAGGCAAGAGATTTTGCAAAGAAATAATATCAGTAAAGATGCTACTTTTTGCATTCAAAATGAACAATATTGGTTAGAATATATTGCCAAATATAGCTAATTGCAAAATAATAAGTTGTATATGGATTAATATTCTATGGAGTAATGTTAATATGGGATATATTTTGAGGGGGTACGAACACTTCAGTACATGAATAATTAACAGTACATTTATTATACTCTCAGTGAATGAAGTATCAAATATGGATGACAATAAACAAAAAGCCAAACAGGAAAAGAAAAAGGGATCCTAAAAATTTTACTGTCAGCAAAAAATAATTTGAAAAAAAAAAGACGTCAAAGAGCTAATATCTGTAAAGATGCTAATAATCTTGCTGAAGCACGTAACATAGCATAGAAGCAAAAAAAAAATGAAGAATCATCCTAGGCTGGCCCAGCAAGAAAGACTAAAGTAAAGAGAAGAAATAAGGGCATACTGACAGAGAGTCAAGGAGAAGCAGAAACCCAACAATCCTGAAAACAGTAGAACAAGAGGTGCAAATTAACGAGAGATGAAAAAGAAGGAAAGACTCCAAAAACAGGAATCAAGACTGAAACAAAAAAAAAATGAATAAATAAAAAAGGTCAAACAACAGAAAGAAAAGTTAAAATTAAAGCCTGGTGAATGAAAGTCAAACTAAATGACACACAACCAAGCTCCAGCATCCACTGTAAAACGTGCTGTGGTGTTTCTCTAAAAAACTCTTTGATTAATTCATGCACTTGTATCCTTTTGGTTAAAGTACTGCTGTTATATCTATGGTTTGATATTTTTTTAGAATTTTGGCAAAAATAACTGGTAAACAATATGATATTTCAGTTACAAAAGCATCAGTTACTTGAATGTGTAGTGCCCGTACCCCCAGACCATAGTCTAAGTGGCTTTCTGTTAATTTGAGCGTAGCACAAAAAGTAATTAATATTGCGTTCTAAAATTGTGGATATCATAGTTAAGAAGTTATTCTTTTTATCTGTTACAAAATTAAACAAATGCATCAGAGTTAATTTGTCTCTCAATGTGACCCCTATTTTGTACCCCTGATCGTGAAACAGCCGATTAGCACACGCTCCCAATTTGCGAGGCTTTCGAAGTATGGGATAGCGAGGAATCGACATGTTTGCGCCCGCTCGCCATAAGCTATGCTTTCGAGATACGAGGCCCTGAGTAGCATTAATCACGTACGACTAAATATGATAGCGGAGTAGCCAATGGACAGCCGTGGTTTAAGTCAGTTACAACTACTCGCCGGTCACTGCATGTGATATACAAGAGTTTAAACCACGGCTAGCGCGTAGAACAAAAGACTCGGCCGTGCTGTATGCGACATACAAGCACGTCATGTACGAGTGCGTTCCACGGTCTGTTGCACTACTAGTGTAGTAGCCAATCAGAGGCCGTGGTTTAAGCCAGATACAACACTCGTCGCCGAGCTGTACGTGAAAATTACTCGTGTATTGTCTCGCCTGCGGCTCGCCAATACACTCGTAATATTTCACGTACAGCTCGGCGACTCGTATTGTATCTATCACGTGATCATCGATGCGCCTCGATGATCACACTCTTGTATATCACATGCAGTGACCGACGAGTTGTTGTAACTATTACATAATACCCTCGACTATATCGTCACGCAAGTGCAATCATCCAGAAACATTCCCAGCAGACAAACGACATTGATTCACCGTTGAATCAACGTTAATTTAGGTGGATCAACGTTGAATCAACGTAGAATCAATGTCGTTTGCCTGCTGAGATTGCCCTTGTTTACTCCCTGTTATATGCTTAAAAATGATGTTTGTATTTTGATAATTAAATGCCAGTAAGTGGGGGAGCACTCTCCACCAGGTCGCCACAAACAAGCTTCTCCAAGGTTGGACTTAACCAGTCAAATATTATCTATGAAATCCATATTTATTTATTACCAATCCAAAGCTTTATATTAACATCAAAATCAAGTAGTGTTATGTAAGTTCAATGATGTCTTGGCCTATATACATGAAACTCAAAGCTGAGCTCGATGACTCTTTAAACATTGGTCGTTTCTCATGAAGGATTTCATAAGGTGCCAATCTATAAATGCTAAATGTCATTTTTAGTCTAGTTAATGAAATATGACAGTCAATCGAGGTTTTGGTCGTGAAATTACTCCAAAACTGACATTAACTTTAGAATAATGCAATGAACAAATGGGATTACTGTGACATTATACACTTCAATAATTTGGGCAACAAAGAGGCCTCAATGATACATGATTATTAAATCAATAAGTCCATTCATGTTGATTGATTTGAGACCCCTTCAATGACAAGATCAATTGAAATAATGTCAATTGCATACAAACCAAAAGAGATAATAAGATAAACCAATTCCAAAAACAAACTAAAAAAGGAGACAGAATGAATTTATAAACTTAGCACAGTCCGCACTCGTTAAAGAGTAATGCAAATACATTATTCCATTTTAGTACTGGAATATAACTTTTCCTAGCACATTTGTGAAAAGTGTCGTACAAACCTACGGTGTTTTCGTTGGCCTTCAGAATCAGTTGACCCGCTTCGTTCGCATGTGGCAGAAAAAAATCGACGTTGGAATCTCGTGGAATGAGGTCCACCAAAGCCTTGAAGAGAACCAGGGTTCCGATCGTATTTTCTGCATAGAGGGGTCCAAGGTAGAAACCGTTCATAGCAGGCCTGATTGATCCGTAACCGGCTATCTTTCCCTTCTCCAACAAGACGAGCGTTTCTGCCGTTGTTTGGCCAAGCCAAATCTTCAGCATTTCCGGTCTTGGTACCACGTGGAATGACGTATCATATTCAATGAGGTCCGACAGTTCAACTTGGCGCAGGTCAGATAGATGGTATTTGCGTAAGGCATCCGGTGGAAGAGGGATGTCCTTGAAGACGCCGAAATATTTTCCTCCCGTGTCTCCACGAGAGAGCGGAGCACCGTTGTATCTTTCATATGTATCTATCATGTACGAAATGGAACTAAAATGAATATTTCTTTCGCCATATTCCTCTGCAATGTTTCTCAGTATTTGTCCCCCTACAATGAAATAAAACCACAGGAGAAAATCAAAATATTCTTTCTGTTAGCAGTATGTATACTATAAGAACTAACTATAACAGCGCATTCAGAACACGCTGATATACGGACTTACACATCTGCGGAGCAAATATAGTAGACCCACTTGAAAGTAAGGCCTCCTAATCCTCTTATGGTCTCATCGGCTCCCCACGCGCCACACTCCACAATTTAACAGATTAAACTCTAAACAATTGAACACTTGGGTCTTCATTTCAAAATTCGCAATCATAACAAAATAGTTCTAGACTTTGTGTTTCGGTCATCATGCGGTTTATTGACACAAAGCTGAGATAATTAAGCGAAGCTTAATTGTAATGGTAGCCATAACTATTTAAGAAGTTATTCTTTGTCTAACCAAGGAGTGTTATAACTCCTTGGTCTAACAGAATTCAAATGTAGCTGTTAAAGAGTTGGCAATACCACCATATGTCATGTACAATTTGAAAGTGGAAAAATGGCGATATGTATAAACGTATATAACTTATATAGTTGACTATTGGTTGGAAATGTGTTTTTACTGGAACTCGATTTAACGCTCTTACCTACACCATAACCGCGCATCTTTGGCGACACTATAAAGTGACCCCCTGTAGTCAGGTCATCATTAAAGTCGTGTGTCAAACAGCAACCTACAAATAAATTATCATCGTAAATACGGTATAAACTGTACCTAAAATAGAGATTGATCGTGTATTCTATCCATGAGACATGATGTTTCAACCATTCAACATATCAATTTTTATCATAATTAACTCAGACAATAATACTCCCCCCCCCCAAAAAAAAAATTATAATAAATGAATAAATAAATAAACAAAAAAAAAAAACATTACACGTGTAGACATTAATCAATTATTTGAGGGTAATGTTTGTAGAAATAATACTGACCCACAACTTTTCCGTCCTTTTCCGCGACAGTCCAGCCATTTTCACACATTTTGAAGAGGGTTTCAATCATGTCTTGATGTGTATTCCACATGGCTTCTTCTGAAAGTTGCCACACCCCAGGGACATCTTCTATTCTTCCTCGGCGTATAGTGACCCCTTGGATCCCCTCCGTGGTCGAAGTAAAAGGACGCTGAAACACAGGTCTCTGTGTCCGGAGTCTGCAAAATGGATCTCCAACTAAGACCGAAGACAGACGTTCATCGCTCACAGCATTGAAAAAGCGTGAAATCGTCACATGTCTTCGCACTGTATTACCAAACATTTCTGTTATCGTCGTTGACTAATTCTGGACTGCTGTATAGTCTAAAGTTCTTTAGGATATGGTCCACCTTTTTCAATCGATGGAATGCTACTAGTTTCTTCTTGTAGAGGTAAAAAGGAACTGGGCGTATACATGTAAGTGACCCGTACTCTCTTGCTATTCTACTTGTCATGCGGTCTATTCAACCAGGGTCTTTCTATAAATCGAAAGACTTTTCCGAACGTTGGGCATTCTGCCTACTCCCCCGCCTGTTGAATAACGAGTCACCCAACCATTTCAAAGCACAGCTCACCTGAAGTCAGGAGGCTACAATGCATTATAGGGGGCGAGTATGGGCGAGTTTTGGAATCGAGATACTTGCGCTCGGTCGCTTTCGGTTGCTTTCGAGTTACGGGGCCCTGATATGAACACTGGGCCGTTCCTCGGCTATTAGTATTTAAAAGTGCATTCCCATAGATTTAGATCGATCCATGAAAAGACTTTATACACAAATGCTTAAACCTGTGACAGCCGTGATGATATGCAAATTAATAATATTAGTTATAACAATTATAACAAAATACGATTATTGACGAGTTCGATCTTTTAGTTGATCCTTTTTTTCATATAAAAATCCAAACCTGCATTCACAATCTAGTGACCTTGTAACAACAACTACAACAACAATAATAATAAGAAGAAGAAGAAGAAGAAGAAGAATGGGTGACATTCTTTTTAGCCCCACTCAAATCCAGAATGAATTCTGTCAAATTCCAGAATTATTGTGAAGATAGATATTTTTGTCATAAATCACCTGACAGGTAGCTTGAGTGAAGGCTCTTAAAGTGAACCGGTTTTATGACAAGGGATGTGGTTAAATTGGTCATGTGACATATTTTATCCAGCACAGAGCACTTGTATTCTAACCTATACCTCGCTGAGATCGGTATCGTGCTAGAACACTTTCCTATTGAGAGACTGAAGGATTGTCAGAGGTTGAGGTTGGTTTAATATCACTCTCATCCATTGCAGCTAAGTGGAGCATTCCCCTTGACAACTTTAAAAATATTATTAAGTTATCGGAGATTAATATTACTCAACAACGTGGACAGAGGATGTTTACACGAATGATCAGAAAACCTGCGGTATTTTCTCGCCTTTTCAGTAGACTGCTCGATGAACGCCCATCGTTGGAAAAAGTAGTCCCTTTAAGTCGCAGTCTCGACCAGCACAGACCTGAGTCTCAGCGTTTCTTTACTTCAGACAGAGAGGGGAGTCAAGAGGTCACTATACGTCGAGGAAGAATGGAAGACGTCCCTGGTGTCTGGAAACTGACAGCGGAGGCCAAGTGGAATATTCATCAAGATATGATTGAGACCCACTTCAAAATAAGTGAAAATGGCTGGACCGTTGCAGAAAAGGAGGGAGATATTGTGGGTGAGTTTGTTTTTTTTTTTTAAACATTGCACTCAATTGCAAATTACTGATTGACTGCATGATCTTATTCCCACGGCTAAATGGTTTTGTTTTTTTCTTTATATATTCTTCAAAACTACTTATTTTCCACTATTCATACCTTTAAAACTTAAGGCCCCTCAGATAAAAGTACCTGGCGTCCATAAAGGAATTAAATTAACACAAATACAATATAAATCACCTAAAACACATTAAAATATACAGAAATGCACGCTATTTTAAATTATTTATTTTAATTTAATTAAATCATTCAATTTAAAGTGGGATATAACATTCGAATCTAAGTGCAGCGACGCGTCGATCACTCATGCCTATAAGTATGATAAAATTGCTTTTTTCCGATGCAAATGCATTTTTAGTGACTCAAGCTTGCAAAGAATACCTTTTTTATAAATATAATTAAAAATTGATATAAATAGAAAGTCCAAAGTCACATTCGCTGGTAGAAAGACAAATTAAGTCTCTTTGAAAAAAATACCTTTTACCAACTTTATTTTAATAATCATTATCTAGTAAAAACCTGCTCTCCACTCGCCTAACTAAAAGCTGAGTCTTACTAGAACATTGCGACTCAAGAACTAATGTACTTTAAATATGAGTTCTGCAATTGTTTCGTGCTGACGTAATAGTTGTTAAATAAGATTATTGAACGTAAAAAATTAAATGTCATTGATCTTAATTCATAAAACAAAGGTTGGATAGACATTTCCGTCGTGTATACAGAAGGTGATACCTACCAATACAACCCTCAGTAGTAATCATCTGTTCCGGTATATATACGTGTGTGTGTGTGTGTGTGTGTGTGTGTGTGTGTGTGTGTTATTAAATATCTATGTTTTATTACAAGCATGCACTTAAAGAAACCGCATCGTTATGGGTTAAATATTAAAATTGCATATAGATTATGAGTAAGAATTCTGAAATGATTGGTATTGTTAAGTGTTAATGTTGACTTGCTTTAGGTTGCCATCTGTCGCATGACTTTAGTGATGGCCTGAAGACAGCCGGTCACTTTATAGTGTCCTCAAAGTTGAGGGGTCATGGTGTTGGTGAGTATATTATAGCAATTTCCATCTAAATAGCATTTGAAGAGTCGTTTGAATAAGATGCCCAGACATTTAA